GGGGGGATTAAATAAAAGAAAAGACCGCTCCGGGGGAGGCGGGCCAGCCTGGGATCGAGAGCACACCCCCGGGGAAGCCCTTGAAGGAGAGGATGCCGAGGCAATAGACGGGAAGGGCGGCGGCAGGGGGGGAAACCGGACCGGGAAGGGAGAAGGAGGAGGTGCCAGGAGGAACCGCAACGAAGGCGGCGGCGTCGGAGGGGAGGGGGGCGAGGGAGGGGGCGGTAGGGGAGGCGGCAATGAAGGAGTTGGCGAGGGCGGAGGCGGTGATAGAAAGGGCGGCGGGGAAGGGGGCGGCGGGGGAGGCGGCGGCGGCGGAGGGGACGGCAAGGTGAAGGTCGAAGGAGGCCCCCAAAGCACTTGGAGCACTTGGAGACCTCACATCCAGGGCCGGGGAGCTAAGAAGCGCACCCAGCGGGCCGGATCCACCGTTTTCTTTTGGAAGCTCGACACGGAGCCTTGTGTGCTCGCCATGGTGCGCCTCCAAACGCCGCCCGCGGGGAGCCGCCGCCACCCGTCGTGAGGGGCCACGCCTGTAAGGGCGCACCTCCGCTCCGCGCCCTTCCTCCGCCGCTCCCCACGCGCGGATGCGGCCCCCGCGGCCTCCGCCGACGGCCCCCACGGGAGAGGGCTTGGCCACTGGCGCCGGCTGCCGCCCAAAGAGCCACACGCGGCGGCAATCCGTTCAGGGATTGGCGCTGCGTGCGGCGTCCCTCCCATCGCACCCTCCCGCCACACTTGTGGATCGGTGGTGGCAGCCCGTGGCGCCGCAGCGCAGCGCCCTGGGGGAGCAGCGCCCGCGTAACCACAGCCAGTTCCTCCAAAGCACCGCCCACCTAACCCCCCCCTCCCCTCTCCCTGCAGCCGGCCAACAAGACTCTCCGCACCAAGAAGACGCTCGCCAAGAAGCTGAAGCAGAACCGTCCCATCCCGCAGTGGATTCGCATGCGCACTAACAACCGGATTCGGTGCGCTTGCCTACGCGTTATCCGTCCCTCCACCCTCCCTCTCCTCCGCCCTCAATCCACCCATCCCCTCCTTCTCCGGCCGCGCCGTCCTGCCCCCCCCCCCCCCCCCTTCAGGCGCCGCTCCGCTCACCGTGCCCCGTGCCCCTCGCCGGCAGGTACAACGCGAAGCGCCGCCACTGGCGCCGCACAAAGATTGGCCTGTAGAGTGACTGTGATGCCGCGGAGCTCTGGCGGTTTCCGCTCAGCGGGCGCCGCGGCGGCGGCGGCGGTGTGGCGCGGGCGAGGCTTTGGGGAGGGGCGGAGGGGCGTGCAGTCCGTCGCCCGCTTATTCCATTCTTCATCCTTCCAAATATGCGAGACGCGTCCCCGGGGGGTCACACGAGCGAGAGGCGGAGAGCGGCCGAGACAAAGCACAAACAACACACACAGAGCAGTCACGCCCAGAGTCTCGCCAGGCCCCTCCCTCAGTGCAAAGCAGATCCCTTCTCCGGCAGCCTCATGCCACATCAGTGCTCAACCTCAAGCCATCCAGCATCCTCCTCGCCCAGCCTAGCCCAGCCCCCCGTCCCCCCGGGGGGGGGGAGGGGCGCCGACCGCGGGAGATCGCGGGAGATCGCGACGGGTCGCGCGAGAGGCACGGACTAGACGCCCCCCGCCCTCCTCTCCTCAGCTAGATCAGTCGGAGGTGCGGGAGCCGGCGGTGGCGGCCTCGAGGGGGGCGGTGTACTCGTAGTGCCTCGGGTGCCAGTCAGCGTGCAGCAGGTTGAAGTCAAAGTCGATGGGGCAGGCGGGCAGGCGGCGCGGCGAGGAGGCGTACTCCTGGTACCAGCTCGCGGTGCGGTGCGAGTCGAGGAAAGCAACCAGCTTCGGCACCTTCTGCGCCGCGAGCCAGCCGGGCTTCATCTCGTCCAGCGTGGAGAGCGCGTGCAGCATACCGATGTCGGCGAGGCTCAGCGCGCCGGCGACAAAGTACACGCCCTCCTGCGGGGTGAGAAAGGTCTCGGTTAGGGGGGGTGGGTGGGTGGGTGGGTGGGGGTAGGGTTAGGGGGGGGAGGGTAGGGTCAGGGTTGGGGTGAGGGTTAGGGTTGGGCCTGCGGGTTGAGGAAGGAGGGCAGCATCTTCTCGGCGCCGCGCAGGGAGTCCTCGAGCCGCTTGAGCGACCACCTAGACACAAGACATCCGCGCTCCGAACAAGAAATACGCCGCGCGCCCCTCGGCACTAGAGCGACCACCATCCCGGCTTGACAAACTCGCCGTCTTTTGAGGAGGTCGAGCCGCCGCGGAAGCCCTGCATCGCGTCGAGCATGTCGAAGGACAGCTCGAGGAGCTGGTCGACCTCGGCCTGCGCCGGCAAGTCGTCCTCCTCGCCGCACAGGGAGCCCTCGAGCGTCCTTCCGAGGTGGCGCAGGATGGCCTTGCAGCCGCAGATGGAGGCGTCGCCGAGCTCGTCGCCCTTGTAGAGCGGCAGCTCGGCGAGGGGGCCCGCCCGAGACTGGTAGTCGGCAGGGTTCGCGCTCTCGCCGAAAAAGTGGATGTGCAGGTCGTACGGCGTGCAGGTCGCCTCGAGCAGCAGCCGCAGCGGCTCGGACTGCGCGCGCGCGGCAAAGATCTCGAGCCGTTTCGGCGCGTCGCCGCAGCGCTCGCCGTTGGCGGGGCGGTACTGCAGCAGCAGCGAGGGGTGCTTCGCGAGCAGCGACCTCGGAGGCCCCGCCGGGGTGTTGTTCTCTCCCCCCGCCGCCACCAGCGCCTCCTTGAGAAAGTCTCGAGAGCCGAGCGCCGCAGCCGCCGCCGTCGCCTGCGCCGCCGAGGCGCGCTTGCGCGCGAAGCTCTGCGCGCGCTGCATCGCGATGTACTCCATGTCGGGCGGCTGCGGGGGAGGGGGGGGGGCGGGAGCGGCCGGGGCGCGCGTGAGACGGAGAGTGCGAGAGGATTCCGCCGAGGCGGCGGGCGCCGGGCACCTTGCTATCGGGCAGCGCGGCGGAGGGCGAGCCGGGAGGCAGCATCGACGGGGCGCTGAGGTCGGACTTGCTGCCGCCAAGGCTGGGCGGGAAGCCAAGCACGCTCGGCGGCCTGCCCACCGGCACCCTGCCCGGAGGCAGGCCAAAGCCCTGCGATTCCGGAAGGAATCCGTTCGCCTTGGCCGCGTCCTCCTCGCGCTTGCGAGCAAAGGACTTGGCGCGCTGCAGCTGGATGTAGTCGCTGCTCGGAGGCAGCGTGGCGGGCGGCTTGCTCATCTCGGAAAGGGAGTTCAGGCTCTTGCTCTACGGCGCGCACACAGCCAAGAACTCCTTTGTCATGAAATTGAGAAAACGGGTTCTGAACAACCAACCAACCAACCAGGAGTGAACGCCGTGCAGGCAGCCTGTGCCTTTTGGTGTACCCCGTTTGTACCGCGTCCTGTGCCCCCGAGTTCATTTAATATAACCACCACGCCCCGCAAGAACCCTACTTTCTTCTTTGCCAACAACACGCCCAAAACTTTCTTCTTTTCCCGGCCTGAGGCCGCCGTCCTTTTCTAGCAGCCCCGACGCCCTCGCCCTCGAGAGATATGTGTATATGGCTGCCAGCGATTCCGAGGAGGCGCGCTCCGATGATCTCTTCATCGGAGAGCGAACCGTCCAATGCGCATGGTGCGGCCAGGTTTCCGGCCTCAAGAAGACGCTCGCGCAGCACCCGGAAGCGGCCCGCGCGCCCGGCCTCGCCGCCGTTGCGGCGCTCCAGGGCCACGTTGGCGCGCTCGAGATGCTCCTCGACGCCGGCGCCGACATCGAGTCCCGCCTCGAGCCGGGCGGCTTGGCACACTCCTGGCTCACCGCGCGCGGCGAAGGCGCCGCGCTCTCCCTCGAGGAGGTGGTCGGGCAGTGGCACGCAACCGCGCTCGAGATTGCGTGCGCGCGCGCTGATGCGCCAGCGGTTCGCCTGCTAGATGCGGAATACAGGTCCTCGTATTCTGAACCAGCGATCGAGAGGATGCCGTCCCTGTCCTCGCAGCCCTCGTATTCTCAATGATGCTCGTGAGTCCTGCGATGCATTCATGGCGCAGGTCCAGCTGCTGCTCTCGCGCGGCGCGAGGGTCTCATCCGAGCACACGAGGCTCGCGCAGCGGGCCCCCGAGCTGAGAAGGCGCTCCGGCGCCGGCGTGTGGCGCCGCTGCGCCGACACGGTCGCCGAGCTCCTGCAGGGCGAGCGGCGCCGCCGCGCCCGCCGCCGCTGGCGCGCGGCCCTGCTCGCCGTGTCGCTGCTGCCTGGGTGGCATGCGCGGGCGGCGCTGCGGGTTTACGCGCCGGGCGAGACGGGGTACCGCGACGCCGAGGCGAGCTTCGCTTTGGCCACTCGACGCGGCCAGCAGCACTCCTGCAGCGCTGACGATCCTTCAGCGCAATAGTGCGAGCCCGGGCTCGCAGTCGCGCGACTTTTCAGGCCCATTGGGGCAAACGTTTGTGTTCTCGAGTGAGTGTACGAAGCCCCGCCGGCACGACCATCGAAGCTCTAGATGAGATCTGCGCACTTGGAGTGCAGTCGGTAACCTCACATCCAGGGCCGCGGGATGCGGGGAGCTAGGCCGAGCGTTTTTGATCTCTCGGTAAGTGGGCGCCCGCCCGCCGCCTCTGAGGGGGTCGGGCCCCCTAGACTGAAAACAAAAAACAAAATGTAGAAACCGTCGAAAACAGCCTGCGAGAGCGGCGCTGCGCGCCGCCTAGAGGACGACGACAGCGAGGATGTCATGTTGCGCGATGGCGTCATCCATTTCGTCAAGCCACCTTCATCGTGACCGTCGCCACCCTCGCCACCGTCTCGCCTACGTCGCCGCCGTCGCCATCGTCGGCCTCGCTGCCGAGACGGTGCTGCTGCACGACTCAACTCTCCCACCCCCCTGGCTCCTATGCCGACGTGTCCCGTGCTCCCCCGTCCGCCGATGTCAGGCCGATGTCTCTGCTGCCGCCCGGCGGAGCTCTGCAGCGCGGGCTCTCCTCGCCGCCTTCGCTGCCGCTGCATCGCTGTCGGCTCGTCATGTCTGTCTAGGGTCATTGGGGGCGTGCCATCGCTCGTCTCTCTCTCTCCCGGGGTCAGCTCCAACCTGCCGTGTCGGGACGTCGTCCCCTCGGCTCCCCCCCCCCCCCCCTCCGCTGAACGGTACTGCACATCGTGCTGCGCGTTCTCGCCTTGTCCCAGGAGCCAGGTGCGTGTGTCTAATCGTAGTGGGGGCCCTGGCCCCCCTCTGTTTTCTGTTTTCTGTTTTTCAACACGCCCGCCCGCCCGCCACCCCGAGGCGGCTCGGCCCCCCACTTACCGAGAGATCAAAAACGCTCGGCCCTAAACGAGCCGTACGGGGTGTGGAGCTGGAGGGTGAGTTGACCAAGGGGTTGTCGTCTGGGGGGGCGACCCCCCCATCTTTGTTTACCGATGCATCCTAGAATACGTTATCGCTGCCAAACTAGTGCGCATGTACTGCGACATCGCTAGCCCGTAGAAATTGTTAAAAAAGAACACCCTTAAAAACCCAAACGAAAGATGGCGTAGTGTGTGTAGCACCGCTGCCAATGTCTGCCGGGGCGTCACACTGACAGCGAGAAGGAACTCACCAGTCCGATAAGGATCAACTGGAAAGCTGAACCCTGGGCTTAGACAGAACGGGCGTGGCAGGCTCCAGGGGAGACGCACCACGCTCTACCCGGGGCGCTAAGGAGGGAAATCGAAGCTGTCGGGCGTCCAGCGAGAAAACTCGCGAGGACACACCGACAATCCCCCCTCCCCGAGGACCGAACCTAGGCACGTAGAGCACGGGTCATCTCGGAGAGAGAAAGGGGAGGGAAGAGGGGGGGGATAAGGGAGCCGAGATACGCGGGAGTACCCTGGGAGTGAGAGCTCTCATTCATGGTCGTGAGACCAGGGGAAGCCACCATGGGGAACGGGCACCCAAGGCACTAACTTCATCACTCATTCACCCCGCGCGATCTAGCAAACCCTGGTGCAGTCGGTCTTCGGATCAGCGGCCAGTTTCCCATTAGGGCAGGGAACCCCCGGCCGACGCAAGTGTGGCCTACGGTAGCCACAGCTAGTACGACGCGATTCAGGGGCTGGGGGGAGTGGGGCGCCCGCGCCAAGGGGGAGAGAATGGAGGGGGGAGAATATGCGTGCTCGTTTTTCTTCTAAAGCAATTTTTTTTGACTCACACTTGTGAGTACCGGAAGGGGGTGGGTCGATTGACGAATCCGCATAACGCTGCTCGCCAAACCGCTCTCGGCCCTCGGCCTCCGCCCCCCGGGCAAAGGGGGGACCCCGTGTGACACCAGTCGTTTTATCATATATCTCTTCGTCCGCCGCTTAAAGCCGTTGAGACGCCCTCCACCCTTGAGACGCACGCACGAACCCGACCGCGACCCCCGCACTAGACTAGAGAACGCCCGACCGCTCTCACTCTCCCACACTGACGCGCCATGTCCCATCGCTCCGCCCCTCTCCTCTCTTCGCGGGCGCCGCTCAGGCGGGCCCTCCTTGCGGCCCGGGCCCCACATTGACCATGCGCGGGTGCTCGTACTTGCCGACGTAGATGTCGCGCGTCAGCTCGCCGGGCGGCGGCGGCGTCGCCGCCTTGGCCTTGGCCACGGCCTCGTCGACGACCTTGCGCACGCGCTTCTCGATGCCCTTGACCTCCGCCTCGGTGGCGAGCTCCTTGTCGATCAGCCACGACTTGACGAGCGCCACAGGGTCGCGCGCCTACGTCGTATTTCCTTTTCAGTTTCGCCATGTGTTCCAGTCGGCACCATGTGTGGAAGGGTCGAGTGCGTCGGCGTCGGGGGTGTGCGTCCAGGATCGCGCGGTGCGTTCAGAGCGTCGCGTGGAGACACGGCGGACGCGCACGGGCTACGAATACGGTTGAACGCCGTTGGACACGGTGTCCCCCCGGGTGTGAATCGGAGGACACGGATCTGACGGTCCGCATCTAGGGGCCACGCGCCGCGCGAACGCTGGCAACCTCGTCGCGAGTCCGGTAGGTGATGCCGGGGTCGGACATGGAGTGGCCGTGGTAGCGGTAGGTGTCCATCTCCATCATCACCGGGCCCTCCTTGGCCAGCTCCTTGGCCACCTTGACTGCCTCGCGCACCGCGAGGACGTCCATGCCGTCCACCTTGGGTGGGTGGGGGGTAGGTAGGTAGGTGTTACCTCACACACTGTCTAGGCAGAGACAAGGAGGGCCCCCGCACACACGAACCCGCACATACAGAGAGGGACGAGTGCACGCATTGGGCATCAGAGAGCCATAAAGGTGGGGGGGGGGGGGTAACTTCTTCACACTCAAGGGGGTGGGCGCACGGCATTTCAAGTGCAAGGCCCGGCGCGCGTGGATGTGTGGTGCGCGCGCGCGAGTGGCTGTGTGTGGCGTGATGTGATGCGATGCGTGCGCGTCTCTCCACCTTGATTCCAGGCATGTACTGGCCGCGGGTGTAGTAGTCGGTGCAGGCGGAGCCGCGAGCGAGCGAGGTGCCTGCGCGCGGCCGGAGGCGTGAAAAGACAGCCACCTCTACAGGTCGGCCTCTGCGCGCGTGCGGCGAGGCGTGCGCGCGCCCATCGCATACTGGTTGTTTTCGCAGACAAAGATGACGGGCAGCTTGAGCAGCGCGGCGATGTTTGCAGCCTACTCCGGGACTTCGGCTCTCGGCTCATCGAGGCGTAGCTCGGGTCAGGGTGGAGAAGCGGACCGACGTAAGCGGGTGTGCGAGAGGTGGGGGGTATATGGGGCGGGGGAAAGAGACGAGAATGCATATGCGTGTGCGTGCGTGTGTGTGCGTGTGCGTGCGTGTGCGCGCGCGCGCGCGCGCGCGCGTGTGTGTGTGGCTGCAGCGGCGGTGTTTGTGGCCTCGAAGAGCTGGCCCTGGTTCGCCGCGCCGTCGCCGTACAGCGCAAACGCGACGCCGCCGTCCTCGGCATACTTGTGGGCGAAGGCGAGGCCGGCGCCGAGGGACGTCTGCGCGCCGACGATGCCGTTGCCCCCGTAAAAGTTGTTGTCGGCCTGTGCGCGAATGCAGGGAGGGGACGGCGTGGCGCAGGGGCGATGCGGTGCGAGTGCGGGGAGGATGCGGGGTTGCAGCACTCCGAGCGTTCACGGGGCTGTGAGGGCTGTGCCATATGGCGAGGGCGACTGCGGCGCTGGCTGCCGGTTCGAATGCCGCCAGAGTACAGGACAGGGCGAGGGGCAATGGCAGGGGCTCCGTGTCCGGCTGTCTGTGGCGGGTCAACCTTGTACATGTGCATCGACCCCCCCTTGCCCTTGGCGGGCCCGATATACTTGCCCAGCAGCTCGCCGAGCACCTCCGCCACCGTCGAGCCGCGCGTGTACTGGTAGCAGTGATCGCGGTACGACGTGACGATCGAGTCGGTCATGGTCGCCGCCGCCTAAGAGAAAGAAACGGCCCGCACGTGCGGAGGGAGAGGGGCAGCTGCCTGGAAAGAGAAAAACGCGTGCGCCTCGAGCCCCATCCCCACGCCCTCCTGGCCGTCGTAGAGGTGGCAGAAGCCTAGAAAGAAACAGTCGCCGTTGCTCAAAAAGAGAAGTAGCACGGCGCCGGAAAGGGGCGTCTAGGCGGCAGAGGCCTGCGACGAACTTGCCCTTGTAGAGGACGTCCGTCGCGATCTCCATGCGCCGCATCGTGTACATGGTCTCGTAGTACTCGAGCAGCTCCTGCGCCGGCGGGGGTGGGGGGTGGGGGGTGGGGGGTGGGGGGTGGGAGGGGGGGCGAGGGGGGGGATAGAGGAGGAGGAGGAGGGCGGGCTGTGGCAGAGAGCTGCTGCTCTTGCGTGTCTCTCTTTCGGCGCGTGTGCAAGAGTCCCCCCCCCCCCCCCC